CGACGCTGGTGGTGTCGGGCGCGGGCGGGGCGCAGTGCTGGCGCGGGGCGGCGCGCGAGACGTCGCGGCGCGTGCTGGAGCTGCGCGGGGCGGACGACTGGCTGCGCCTGCCGGCGCGGGCGCGGCGCCGTCGTCGGCTCCCGCAGCACGCGGTGGACGCGGCCGTGGCGGTGAGTGACGTCACCGCTTCATTGTAACTCCAGTTATTTTCGTAACAAATGGACTATTTATTTGTATTTAAAGGGATAAAAATAACAATAGGCGTAGTATGAATGAGCTAATTACACGTCCTCGCATTTTGGATTTTCAATGAATTATTTAATATGGTGTGAGTACTGTATATAATATACATTTGAAAATACCTTATTCTAAGTAAACGGAAGAGTGACTGACATACAGAAACACAGACCATGCAGACAATATGATTACTGTGGGAGACATACCAACTTCATAGACGCAAAGAAAAATCACTTGAATAATCTATTTATAATTACTATAATCTATTATTGAGCGAGCGACAAAAAGATCATCACAGTGCTAGATGCTTACACCTAAATATATTTGTGTCGGAAGCTGGGAACCTATACTTTCGCCGGTAATGAAACCATAACGCTATCTAACCCGATCCTAACGCCATCTATCGAGCGTTGAAACAACAGCGTACAATTTATTTGCTAATTGTTGAGTATTGTTGACACTATGATTTCGTGTACCTTTAACAACCTAAAATATATAAAAATAAAATACACAATTTTATATAAAATGGTAGGAACCAGAAATTAAAACAGTAAAATACTTAAAAACAACGTTCCCTCGTTTTTTAATAACACCCAGCGCCATCTATCGCTAAGTAGCGTAACTACTACATAGATACCAATTAGTAATTCGTTGAGTTAAAAAACAGCAAATAAATGAGTCAAAAAGTGCACCGAATATGTGTAGGTAGCGCCATAGATTAAAGCGTGAGATTTCCAATTAGTAGGTACTCGTAGGTCGTTGAACTTTTCGATTAATAATATAAGCACAGTATAAAAAACATACAGTAGGACGACCCCTTTGATCTCATGTAAAATGCCGACATCGTCTAGACAGTAACGCATCGGCCAGGGTTGTCAAAAATATGGGCTTATGGCACCGACTAAAAGTCGGTCAGTGGGTGAGTAACTTCATTTTATCAGTTTTAGCGTAAAGCTACATAGACCGGTTTCGCCACTTATAATAAACATAGGTGCAAAGTTCTAATCGAACGTGAAAACGACACCCATGACGATAAATTGGAAATTTCATGCAGCCGCCATCTTGTATTTAGATTCTGACATCTTATATTTTGACAACACCATCGGTTTTACCACCCTCGAAAACCATGTAAACGATAACTATGACGATAAATCAAAAATTTCGTGCAGCCGCCATCTGAGATTTACATTTGCATCATCGGTTTAACCACTATTTTGGTAATAAGGTTCACTATTAGTTTAGGTAGCTTGGATAAATACAAAGAGGTGTTGCTTGAACAGATTTATATTCACACTAGTTGGTATTATAATATTACACTGGTTTTAAAGGATGGCTTCTTACTCATTCTACAATACAATGACTTATAAAACAGCAAATAAATGACATAACAACAGTTCAGGAGATCAGTTGTTATTAGTGAAACAACTTGTTGTCGTAGGACGAATGAATAATATAGCTCTTTTCAGAGCTGTCTGCTTCTTGGTTTCTGTTAAACGATGGTCTAAATCCTTGTAGCTTGTGCTATGGCTAGTGTGGCTACAAGTCGAAGAGTGCACCGAATAAATGTATGTAGCGCTATAGGTTAAAGCGTGAGATTTCCAATTAGTAGGTAATTCGTTGACTTGTTTTAAACGACATACATGCCAATCTATACCGATACATACAGTGCCATCTATACCAATATTTTTGTTTTTCCTTTTGGATTATAAATGTTTTCCGGGATTAAAAGTACCCTTATTTTTTAATCCGGACTTTAAACTTTACGTCTGCAAAATTTCAAAGCAATCGGTTTAGTACTTACGGCGTGAAAACGGAACAAACAAACTCACTTTCATATTTATAATATTAGTAAGGATATATGAATATTTCATTATTTTTATGTGATCAAATAATTACTAGAAAAGGAGTTTATGTCAATTTTCAATATATTACAACTTAGAAAAAAAATCGATTTTAATACAATACCTACATACAATATTAGAATCGAATAAAAATTACCAACGCACAAAAAATGTGAAAAAATATTGGTGCTTTTCTGTTGTGTATGAATAGAGATTAAAATTTAGGCAAATATTTTAAAATTATCCTTATGTCCCCATTCTGTCCTGACACAAATACCTGACAAATAAATACATGTGTAGTTGATGTGAAACTAAAGTTTACTTTTCCATAAGTTTTTTTTATGAGATAAACCTGTAAACGAGCAGACGGATCACCTGATGGTAAGCAATCGGCGTCGCCCATGGACATGAACACCACAGGCGTTACAAGCGCGTTACTGGCCTTTTGGGATTAGGAATTTGAAGATTGTTGGGGATTCCGGAATTTGGAAATAAAAGGAGGGGTAATTGGGCCTCCGGTAACCTCACTCACACGACGAAACACAACGCTTGCGTTGTTTCACGTGTTCTTCTGCCCGGCCGTGGTATCACTCCGGTCGACCCGGACCATCCGTGCTGAATTCGTTTCGTGAACTGACACTCCATCTAGACACTATAATAATCATAGTTGGCAGACTGATATGGCATCTTTTGGTGAAAACAGAGATATTTTATAAAACGTTTTTGAATGTTTTCCACGCGGTCAATATATTTCCGTGTTCGTTACATGTTGTCGAAAATGGTCATTTGAATCTTACAGATAATTAGTTGTGCGGCTTCTGTAATTGTTGCGCACATTTTTAAATTTATTGCGCTCGGAGTTAATTTCGAGGACTGTGATATCGTCAGCGCGGAGCGCATCGGCGGGAGGCAGCTCAACGTAACAAGCTCGGCGGGTCCGACCGAGTCTCGTCCGCGACCGCTTGTCGTGCGCTTTGCTCGCAGGGACTTGCGTGATAAGCTTCTGACGGGCGCGCGAGTTCGGCGCGGTGCGACAACTGACGACTTAGACATGCCCGGCCCAGCGCAGCGCTTCTTCGTGAATGAGCGGTTGACAAAAGTCAACCGGCAGTTATTTCGGAGGGCGCGGGATGCCGCTAGCCTCCTCAAGTGGAGGTTTGTCTGGACCAAGCAGGGCCGCATCTTCGCTAGGAGGGAGCCTGGAGACAAGGCGCAGAGGATCCGCACGGAGGAAGATTTCTCCAGAATCTTCGGTACTGAAATCGAAATGGCCTAAATACAATTTCTGTTGTGTGGATCACTGTTTTAATGTTTTATTCTTGGAAATGGACAACATTTGTACTTCTCCTGCATACCAACCTTTTATTTTTTCTATTCTTTTGACATATGCCTTAATATTTCACGTACATATTACATTTCTAAAAATTTTACTTGTGGGGAGTATTTTTGGACTGTGCTATTTATTATGCCCTTCATATTTATCATTATATTTTAGGGAACAGAGAGTATAGTTCCCTAAGATCGGAAAAGGAGGATCCTCCGACCAGGCGAGGTGATCGTGCCTGGCGGGCTTTCTGCCCAACAGTTGTTCGTTGGGATTTTCTATCCGTGTTAAATCCAATGTAAACTTCGCATGTGCGATGTAGGATTTTTATGACGTCATCCGTTAGAATGTACCATGTGTCGCCACAATATATACTCTACATATTTTATACACTCCATTATATATGCCATGCCTTTTGTATGTATTATTATATATTATATGCTATGCTTTTCGTAGGGGTCTGTACACAGCACGTTCCACTACTGCACTGGCCACTTGTACAACCTCCCGGCGGCACGGAGATCGCAAGCTGCGAAGTTCGTCCACCACCCTCCGCCACACCTCTCCATAGCATCAATGAGTCCTGGTAAATGCATCAAGTTTGGTCTTCTAAATGCGGGCTCTCTGGGGACAAATCAGGATGAATTCCTAATCGCCATGAGCAACCACTCGGTGGATATCATGGCCATCAACGAAACCTGGCTACGTAAAGGGGAAGAGGATCGTGCTCCTAGTATAAGTGGGTACAAGTTCAGACACATACCGAGACCGGCGACTACGCGGGGTGGTCGTGGCGGGGGGTTGCCTTCTACATAAAAGACAGCATTAACGCGCGTGTGAGAGCTCATCCCGAACACCCTACCGTTGAGCAACTTTGGCTTGGCCTAACCGTGAACGGGAGGAAGGTTTTGATTGGGACCGCGTACCGCCCACCTTGGCAAGACTTGGAACTTTTCCTTGATGCCGTAACTGCTAGCGTGAGTGGTCTGGCCCCCTACGATAACCTTGTGCTGTTGGGCGATCTGAATGTTAATCTGCTGGATACAAATACCTTAAAATACAAACAGCTTATAGAATTTTTTGAATACATGGGTGTTGTTCAGTTGGTTGACACAGCCACACACTTCGTGGGTGATAGCAGCTCACTCATTGACATCGTGTGTACTGACGCTGTAACTCGCGGCGTTAAGGTGAATCACATTAGTGAGCTTGGCCATCACTCCTTCATTACGTGCGAAACTGTTTTTGCGAAGCCAAAAGTTAGGCCCAGGATGGTCAGTTTTCGCTCCCTTTCGGACATATTGCCGAATTTCTTCCAAAGTGACCTGGGTATGGTTCCTTGGTCCGAAATAAAGGATTTGGGTGATGTAGATGCAATGGTGCATGACTTCAGCCTACACATGATCCAGCTATATGATCTACATGCCCCCATTAAGAAAAGAACCTATCATAGGCGGCCTACACCATGGATCACCGAGAATATTAGGCGGATGTTTAGGTTGAGGGATGAAGCCAGGGTGAGATGTCGCAGAACCAAGGACATACATCATAAAAAATTCTACCTGGATCTCAAGCGTGAGTCTGCCGCCGCATTAGCGAGAGAAAAAACGGCATACTTTAAAAAAAACGTAAACGACCACATTAGTGATCCTAAACGGTTGTGGAAGAACCTCAAGTGCGATGTACTTCCAGATCATACAGATAGGATATTACCGGCTCATTTCGACAATCCGGATAGCATCAATCGTGCATTTTTGGATGTCCCGGGAAATGACAGTGATAACATTTTACAGATAGCTAGCTTTGGTACCCGTAGATACAGCTCAGCTCAATTCTCACTGTCTACAACCAACCAAGAGGCAGTCCTACGGATAATCAGGAGTCTGGGGTCGAATGCGCAGGGAGTCGATGGCATCAGTCTGGACATGATAACTCTCACATTGCCTAACACCTTGCAAGCCATCACTGACATCATCAATAGATCCATAGAGTCGCGTACATTCCCCAGTCTCTGGCGTCGTGCCATAGTGCGCCCAATACCCAAGATTAGTGACCCAACCAGTATAAAAGATCTCAAGACCTATAAGTATCCTGCCCTGTCTGTCGAAGATTTTGGAGCGTGTGGTACATCAGCAAGTCATTGAATACCTGGAGTTCAATAACATTCTCCCTGACCTTCAGTCGGGGTTCCGTAGGGGTAGAGGTACTGCTACTGCTCTCATAGATGTGGTGGGTAACATCTTGGAGGCACGTGATAGGGGGGAGGGCGCTATACTAGTGCTTTTGGATTTTTCGCGAGCTTTCGACGCCATTAACACCAATCTACTTCTGTCTAAGCTGGTATACTATGGCTTTGATCAGGGTGCTGTCGGCTGGTTTAAAAGCTACTTAACCAACAGATCTCAGTATGTGGAGATTCAGGCCAGGGACGGATTATCCATGTCTTCGGCTGCGCTTCCTGTGTCTAGGGGAGTCCCACAGGGATCCATACTCGGGCCTTTGCTATACATCCTCTACAGTGCTGACGTTGCTGGGTCCTTTCTCAATTGCAAATACCATATGTACGCAGATGATATCCAGCTATACACAACCTTCAAGGGACCTGACACGGCGGTAGCGGTGCAGAGGTTGAATGAGGATCTGGAGAGGGTGGTGAGCTGGTCTGGGAACAACTCTCTGGTCCTAAACCCGTTAAAGTCCAAATTCATGGTGCTGGGTACCAAGAAACAAGTTGCGGCTATACTCTCAGCCCATCCAGTCATTACAATCATGGGGCAGAGGATAGAGCGTGTTGTACAAGCTTGCAATTTGGGCTTGATTTTGGACCCGGAATTACGCTTTGAGGCTCACATAGGAAAAGTAGCAAAGAATTGCTTTTACAGATTAAAGGTATTGTATGGCATAAGAAACTATCTAAGTATTCCGATAAGAAAGCAGTTGGTGGATTGTCTGATTCTGTCTGGGCTCAATTATTGTGACGTTGTCTATGGCCCATGCCTGCTTTCTAGAACGGATAGACTGATTCAGCGCATTCAGAATGCCTGCATTCGTTTTTGTGTACAGGTACCACGCAGACAACATATCACACCACACATAAATCGGCTGGGGGTACTGAAGATGGCTGCTAGGCGTACGTTGCACTTGGCTGGCCTGATGTTCGGTGTAGTGGCGACTCATAAGCCACAGTACTTGTATGAGAAACTAACCTGGCGGCGTACTCAGTATGAGTCCGGTCTCCGTTCCATGGTTGACCCTCTCAAGATACCGCAGCACGGGACTGCAGCTTTTAGGGGCAGCTTTAGGTTTGCTGCGACTCGCTGCTGGAATGATCTCCCTCCGCCGTTGAGGGGCCTAAGGACAGCGCAATCGTTTAAATACCAACTGAAAAAAATGTTACTGCATAAGCAGCTGGCTCTCCAATAACCTTGTACCAGTAACTGTTTTTTGTCAAGCTTTTATTTTAACTTAAAATGTGTGTGTATATCTATGGCTTGTTCTGGGGGGATAGTTTTTTAGTTATATAATTATAATATCTTTGTATTTTATTTTATTTTTATTTTATTTTTATTTTGCTTTTATTACACTTATTCAACACATAACCACACACTAACACTAATAAACAAGAAAAATTGTTTGTTATGATTGTTTTGAATGTAGAATTACACTTGTTGTCTCCTTACCTTTTCTGTTTTCGCCAATAGTACTGCATAATCTAGTTCGCGTTCCACTCACAATAAACAT